TCCTCCTCCTCCTCCTCCTCCTCCCCACCCCGCGCAGCTGCGGTCAGCGCACCTCCACTCCATCCTTATGATTAATACTGATTTTTTGCGCAAATTACAAAATTTTTGACGCTCATTATACACGCTAAACATCTGAAGGGGTTGACATGTATGAACGTTAAGTCCGGGGTCGGGCTGGTCAGAGCCAAGCTGCAGGTGGACATGTTCGCTGCACCTCACTTTAAAAACAGTCAGCTGATCGGTCCCGCCTGTATAATGGTAGGGGAAACACTGGTGTGCATTTTGTGTGACTCATAGTGTTTTATTCCTTAAACTTGATTTGTTTGCTGTCTGCAGTCAGCTCTGGTGCTGTGCATGGATGTTGGCTTCTCCATGTCCAACTCGGCTCCAGGTGAAGAATCTCCCTTTGATTCTGCCAAAAAAGTCACCCAGAAGTTTGTCCAGCGCCAGGTACCAAAACACACGAAGTGAACAGAAAAGGCACAACGTTCAGCTAATTACAGGGGTCAGTGTTGGACTTATCTTTTTGTTTTTCTGTTAGGTTTTTGCAGAAACTAAAGATGAACTGGCTCTAGTCCTGTTTGGCACAGATTCTACCAAAAACCCTCTGGACCAAGATGGCCAGTACCAGCACATCACAGTGCATCGTAACCTCGCGGTGCCAGACTTCATGCTGTTGGAGGAGATTGAACATCAGATCCATCCAGAGAACCAGCAGGCAGACTGTGTCCTTTATGTTCAATATGTTTTGCATTTTGAAGGTTTATTAACCTGAATCAATGAAACAAAGTAAATAGGTTTATATAAATACCAAAATTCCTGTTCAAGAGGGAACCGTTTGGCTTTCAGCCTTGTGAGTTGTCTGTTTTCCTTCCTTTTCTTCTGCTGTGAGCTCCTTAACTCATAATCTGTAACAGGGCTGGATGCTCTTGTCGTCTGCATGGATCTTCTTCAAACACACACTCAGTAAGAAACTGCTTGTTTTGAAAATCTCATCTGTTCGCTGAACAGTCCAACACTAATCTGAGTTGGTGTATGTCAGCACTCACTAAGCCGAAGAGATTCTTTGATTGTGCCTTTTTAAAGAGGGAAGAAGAACCATCGCCAGAGCATCGTCCTGCTGTCGGACCTGAACACCGAGGCCAGTTCTGACAACCTGAACGTTATTGTTGAAAACCTGAAACGAAACGAAATCACCCTGCAGTTCTTGTAAGGTTCAAACCATTTTTCAGTAACTAATTTACAACTTTGACTTTATTTTTTAAGTATTCAGATTTATGTCAAAAAAAGAACAGACGTTTAACTGCTCCTTCTGGATCTCCAGTTTGCCTTTCCCTGTTGAGGATGATGACACAGGTCTAGGTGGTGGAGATGAAAGAGGCCCAGGTGACCGTGGTGCAGGTAAAGGTCTGTCCAGGGAACAGAAGAGTGGCCTGGAGATGGTAAAGCACATCATGATAAGCCTGGATGAGGAGGACGGGCTGGATGAAATTTACACCTTCAGGTTTTAAAGCTTGTTTTTTGTTTATTTGATTTGTTCCCTTTTAATGTTTTGCCCTTTAAATCTGATATTTCTGTCTGCGTTTAGGGACAAATGATAGTGGTGCATGACTAATCTCTATTTGCTTAAATGTAGGAATGCGATCGAGCAGCTGTGCATGTTTAAACGCATCGAGAGGCGACCCATGGGCTGGCCCTGTCAGCTGACCATTGGTAGCTCTTTGTCCATCCGTATCATCGGCTATAAAGCTGTAAGTTCTGAAGGGCGTTCAGTCAGAGCGCGTTTTACACAGCCTAAATGAGTGGTGTTTATTTGAAGTTCAGGAGATGCAGTATTGTTCTAGATGTAATTTGGAAGTATTAAATATCAACCACTTCTTGTTTACTGCAGCGGGCAAAGTAAAGTTTCACCTCCTCTGTAACAGTTCACACAGACACTCATAAATGTGTTTTGTTAACCTTAAGTACCACCTCTGTTCACCAGGTGACCGAGGAGCGACTGAAGAAAATGTGGATGACAGTCGACGCTCAAACCAACCAGAGAGACGACGTGAAGAGGGAGACGGTCTACTGCCTGGACGACGACAACGAGACAGAGGTGCAGAAGGACGACATTATTCAAGGTGAGGACGCTAGGAAAAGTGCCAGATGTTGCTTTATTTATTTATTTATTTATTTATTTATTACTTCTTATCTGTTTGAAATCCCTCTGGACATCTAATCTTTTACTCTTTTCAGGTTTTCGGTATGGAAGCGACATTGTTCCCTTCTCCAAATTTGATCAAGAGCAGATGAAATACAAGCACGATGGGAAGTGCTTTGCAGTGCTGGGTTTCACCAAACAGAACACGGTACTGTTTTTGTTTTGTTTTTTTAACCATGACTGGGCATCTAAAACACACGAAGCTTCACGACTGATTTCTTTAATTTATCTGTAGATACTTCGCCATCAGTTCATGGGTACGGGTGTTGTCAAGGTATTTCCTGCTCGTGATGACGAGGTATGAACGGGGAGAGCTGGTTTTTATGAAACGAAATGTGAAGCTATATGAATTGTTGTTTGAGTTGATGTTTTTATTAATTTTTTTTCTTATTTATTTAGTATTGTTTTGTAAATTATGTTTCGTTTGAATACATTCTGGGGATAAAAGCGGCAGACATAAGATTTATTCTTCTTCTGCTACCTTTCATTTTATTTTTATTTGTGTATTTTCTTGTTTTTTTATTGTATATAGTTACTKTTTAATGAAATGAATAAATTTTTGAATTGATTTATGGTTTCATGTTGATTTTGACCTGTTGTTTATGTTTATACGCGCCTGTCTGAGCAGCATGCAGGAGTGGCGCTGTCGGCTCTTATCCGTGCCTTGGATGAACTCCAAATGGCGGCCATTGTACGATACGCCTACGACCGCCGCAGCAACCCTCAAGTGGGCGCCGCTTTCCCGCTCATCAAGCCGAGCTACGAGGTGGGGATCTTTGTAGTTGACTCACAGCATGTTCAGAACAATCCCAGCTCACGATGCTCCTCCCGCCCTCTGCAGTGCCTGCTGTACGTCCAGCTGCCCTTCATGGAAGACCTCCGACATTTTCAGTACCCTTCGCTTGACAACAAAAAGATCGCTCCATCAGGTACTGACATGAAACACGTCAGGGAGCAGCAGATTCACTCACAAACTCACACTTTTCTGTTTAATTTGTGTTTTGTTAGAGTCGCAGCTATCAGCCGTCGACCARCTCATCGACTCCATGATGCTGGTAGGACAAGATGAAGATCACGAGCTGAGGGACCTGTTCAAGCCCCACCATCTTCCCAACCCTGCCTTCCAGAGGCACTTCCAGGTACTGCACAAGTTGTCTAAATTATAATGGGGTTGTCATTTCTTTTAGTTTTCTAGTTTTCTGAAAAACACCAAGTCTACGAGTTATTTTAGAACAAATATCTACAAACTAGACAAACATACTCATTTATTTATGGAAGAAAATGTTTCATTGCTTATGTTATATGTGACCCATCACATCGAAATGAGGATTAAGTCCAAAAGTGGAATGTGGAGAAATAGGCAGATAAAGGGTTTTGATTGAAGCGTGTGCAAAAATYKCATTTTGTCAAAACATAATGAATTATAAACTGAAGAATGAACTGCCTGAATTATAATCCTAAAAAATATTTTTTGAAGCATTTTCTTTAGCAGTAGCTACAAAACACCTGATTTTGAGGGAAAATGACTTMAAAATTTGAATTTTTCCCTGTGAGCTAGCAATGTTTTTGTTTCTTTCCAAATGGGAAATCTTAATATACAAATAAAATTTGAGGTTTCCTCTTTATATTAACTACAAAAATTACTCAATAAATTTACATAAACTAGGATTCAGACCAAACAGTAATGTATTATCATAACCAACAAGACAAATTAGGTCATATCTCTGGATCCACTTATGATATCAGAATGATCCAGGTATCAAAATGCAGCTTTTAAAGCCAAGAATCTGAAAATGTAGTTAGGTCATTTTGAACAAAAATTTGACTTAATCCTCATTTCGATATGATGGGTCACATACAGTATATGCTGTCACTGGGAACTGTGCAACCAGTTTCATTCCATCTGCACAAACATTTGATGTTTGTGTTGAGGGAAAGACATAAATATTCTTGAGTCCTTAAATCCTAACAAAAAATTGTGAGTTTTTTTTTCTTTAAATATTTAGTAAGAACTGCTTGTTTGGTAATACCTTCAACTAAAGTTGATTTTACCGTCCATCAGATCTGAACTGCTGCTTTGATCAGTTTTAGATCACTTGACTGTACAACGGAAAAACAAAAAGGTTCAGCTCTTAGATGTTCGCTGTACTTCAACATTTTCTTTTGTCATTCAAGACCTTGACTCAGTGACTGCGTGAATGTTTTTCAGTGAAATGACTTCAGTGCTTTGAGACCCAGTTTCTCTAGAGATTCAGGTCACAGAGAGAGATGTTCAAACATTTTCTTTAGGGAACAAATGGTTTATTTTTTTTTTTGAATGTCTTCTGTCAGTGATGGAGAGCAAAGCAGAYGCGCTAGATTCAGGAAAACAGGCCAGAACTTCAAAGATATTGTGGGATATGAGACAGTTTTTTAAATATATCACTTTTCTGTTTTAAAGCCTCAACTATAAGCTGAATGGCTTCATTTGTAATTTTGTTTTTTAAAGAAACGTTAACGTAAACATGTAATAAATGTCACATCTTAAATAAAATCTCCACTTTAGAGCTTTGCAGTCTTTTGCTACTCAAACAAATGAACTATACAATCATTTTCTTCACCATTAAGTCAGTTTTCCTAATAATAATAATTATTATTAATAATTCTGGGTTCAGTATCAACTTTCAGCAAATTAATTCAAATATTTTAAATCATTTATGCAAAAATACTAAAAATAAAAATCTGAAACTCCACAACCAGGTGAGGTACAGTTTGATTTTTTAGAAGAAAATATCTTCAGGAGCTCCAAGCTGGCGTGATTCAAGCAGGAGTTCTAGTTTCACCTTTTCTTCTTTCTGTTTTTAGTGTCTGCACCACCGGGCGGTACACCCGGGTTCTTCTCTTCCCACCATGGAGCCGTGGCTGGAGGCTGCGCTCGATCGCCCCGAGATCATCAAGGAGCGCTGCCAAGCTCCGCTGGAGGCTTTAAAGAAGCTGTTTCCACTCACCCAAGTGGAGAAGAAAAAACCGCTGAAGACGAGCGCTCAGATTTTTGGCAAAGAGTAGGTTTGGGTTCAGGAGTGGGCGGTGGGGGGTTTGAATGCCGGATCTAAGGTCATGTTCTAAAACATAGCGGCGCAGTCAGAAATGCTATGGTAGAACCGGTCATCAAAGCTTTCCTCAGTACTGGGTGGTATTTTCTGATTCTAAAAAAAGTATCCTGAACAATCTTCATTGTCATTCTTAGCTCCGAGGAGCCAGATGCCAAAAAAGTGAAGGAAGCGGAAGCAGAGGAGGAGTATAACCTGGCAGACATCACTGAAGGTTCTGTTTCTTTTGTGAGTATCTGAAAGGCTGGTTGACATAACCACAACAAAGATAGGCACTGTAAATAAAGCAGTTTGACTTTAACAGATGGATAAACACCRTTTTACTCTCTGACCAGGTGGGAAGTGTTGATCCAGCCCGAGACTTCCTCGCTCTCATCAAGCAGAAGAGTCTTCCCTTTGGGGAGGGTGAGGTTCACATTTTTCTCCATAGAGACGAATCCCACAACACACACGCACGCACGCACGCACACACACACATCCTTGTATTTGCATCAAACTGAGGACTTTGTATTGACTTCCATTCATTTTTGTAACTGTATTTATGCCTAACTCAGATATTTTCCCTAAAATTAACCATTACTGGTCTATAGTTAACCCTAACCATTACTGGTCTATAGTTAACCCACCATTACTGGTCTATAGTTAACCCTAACCATTACTGGTCTATAGTTAACCCACCATTACTGGTCTATAGTTAACCTAACCATTACTGGTCTATAGTTAACCCCCCATTACTGGTCTATAGTTAACCCACCATTACTGGTCTATAGTTAACCCACCATTACTGGTCTACAGTTAACCCACCATTACTGGTCTACAGTTAACCCTAACCATTACTGGTCTATAGTTAACCCTAACCATTACTGGTCTACAGTTAACCCTAACCATTACTGGTCTACAGTTAACCCTAACCATTACTGGTCTACAGTTAACCCTAACCATTACTGGTCTACAGTTAACCCTAACCATTACTGGTCTACAGTTAGCCCTTACCATTACTGGTCTACAGTTAACCCTAACCATTACTGGTCTATAGTTAACCCTAACCATTACTGGTCTACAGTTAACCCTAACCATTACTGGGCTACAGTTAACCCTAACCATTACTGGGCTACAGTTAACCCACCATTACTGGTCTACAGTTAACCCACCATTACTGGTCTATAGTTAACCCTAACCATTACTGGTCTAGAATTAACCCACCATTACTGGTCTATAGTTAACCCTAACCTGAACCAGAACTTATTCCACACCACACCTCTAAACCTAACTAGTAAAGCACAGGAGAGCTGCAAACAAAGTGGGGACACTGAAGCGGTCCTCACTTTGATCGTAACTATGGTGCAAACGGTCCTCACTCTGCAATAGAAACAAGTACACACACACCTCTCTTGGTGTGTTATAAACCACAATGACTCATGCTCAACCCTTGTAATTATGGTTCTCTCTTTGGTTGTGGTAACCCCCGTGTCCTTTCAGTCTGTCAGCAACTGACTCACCGGATGGAGCAGTTGCTTAGCAACAAGAACACGCACTACTACATGAAGAGCATCACCTGTATCCAGGCCTTCAGAGAGCAGTCTGTGAAGGTAAACCAACAGCTTTGTTTGACTTCACACTTTAGCTTTTCCTTAAAGATKTAGGCGCCTCGGCTCGGAGTCTGCTTCTTTTCTTGTGACTTGAACTGAATCCAGTTTTTATTAAGTATGTTGGCCTCGTGAATGGAATTTGACTGTTTTCTGTCTCAGCTGGGGAATGCTGATCTGTTCAACAGCTACCTCCAGTCCATGAAAAGGAGCATTCCCAGCAGAGGCCTGGAGGTCTTCTGGGACCTGCTTGTTCAAGGTATGATAAGCCTCTTTATGTGGAGCTGCAAGGTTTTTCTTAAATTATTCATCCTACGGGGAATGAGATGAAACTTCTACATGATCTGAGTGCAAAATTAGGCTTTAGTCTGTTGAAGAGTTCAGTGTGTGTTGACATCTTTTTGGGTGCGATGAACAGACGCTGTAACTCTGATCAGCAAGGCTGAGGTTGAAGCGAGCACGGTTTCCAAAGACGAAGCTAATCAGGTGACCTAAATGTAGGAACTGTGTAAATTTATGATCTGGAACTGTCTTTTTCTCTAACAAAGACCTAATTGTCTGTAGTTTCTTATGGCTGAGGAAAAGAAGGAGGAGGCAGCTGAAGTCCCAGCTGAAGACACAGGAGATGTTGATGACTTGGTATGTGTTTGTGCTCTTTTCTCCCTCCAGAAAAGGCATTTAAATATGTATTCCTTTTAACACAGATTATCTTAAAGCTATTTTCATGTGAAAGCCTTGGTTATAAACTCTGTTTCTGCTCTCATTTGTGTAGCTGGATATGATGTAAGAGAGGCGGGAAGATTCGGCAGAAATCTGAGGAATGCGTTCTTTGAACCCACTCAGACCAGATCAGTTCAACCGTCCATTGTTCAGCTTTTCTCACTGGGAATCTTATGTTTGTCTCTGTTAATGAATAACTCCAAACATACAACACAGAGTGGCCTTTTAATATTAATAATTTGAACATACTCTGTAAAATACCTAACAAAACAAACAGTTCATAATACTTCAGGGTGACGAGCTTCAAACATTAATCTTACTGTCAATGTTTTTGTAATTTCCTTTTATTTGTAGCATTTTTTATATGGGAAATTAAAATGAAGTTTTCTGTGCATTGTATTAAACTGAAAGCAGCATCCAGGCTTATTATGCTAAATCAGATAATTTGTGACCAAGTATATAAAACGTAATAAAATTAGGATGCATTTACTTTTTTATGTGTGTGTGTGTTTGTGACAATATATAGTAGAGCACAATGCTGTGACTATTTGTAAACTTTACAGTACATACGAGTCATAAACCAGTCAGTTTAAAGCAGTGGTGTCCAAAGTCAGTCCTCAAGGGCCGGTGTCCTGCATGTTTTAGGAGCTGCTCTGGTTCAACACAGCTGAACTGAAGTAGTGCTTAATTAGTAGGCCTCCTCAGTATGCCATCAAGGTCTGCAGAGGCCTAATTAGGCACTCTTTAGGTTCAGTTGTGTTGAACCAGAGCAGCACCTAAAACATGCAGGACACGGCCCTTGAGGACTGATTTTGGACACCACTGCTTTAAAGAATATTTTCAATTCGTTTCAACATAGTGAATTTCCCATTAATGAAACTAATGTGGTTCTACAGAGCATAGCATTACTTTGTTGTAAAAACTAAGAAAAATGGTATGTTGAACAGTGTTTTGGGTCAAAATTTTGCAATGTTTTGAAAACCAATAAAATTAAAAAGCAGCTAAAATTCATTAAAATTCTTTGAAAGACCTTAGCAAAAAGTAGTAGCCTATATGCAAATATCCATTGCATATACTCATTTTAAACTTAAATTAAAAAGTGTACTTCCAGTTCACCTTTTATGGACCTATATGAGATACTGTATACTGAACCAAGTTTATCTCTTAAACTATACTTGGCTTGTAATAAAAGTATACTAAAAGTTTAAGTATACTTAGTTTATACTATTGTTTAAAGTTTTGGTCAAGATAAACTTTAGTAGTACACTTTTCACACAAACTGGTTTATTTGTAGTATATTCCAAGATTAAACTAAAACTATACTTGGATTACTTTCAGTATACTTCTGAGTATACTTTCATAAACTTTGTGGGCCAATTTAATCATAGAATTTGTTAGTAAACAGCTAGTAGCCTACACTTATATCAGTTTACATGGTAAATAAAAGTACACTTAGGGAAATACACTTTTATATACTTCAGTATACTTAATGACATGCACTTAAATTCTTTTTGTAAGTTTATAAACTYAAAAAGACATAACAGTAAACTTAAAGAATACTTTTCATAAACTTTAAAAACGTCCCAATTTAGTACGAACAAGTTTTAAATCAATATAGTACACTACAAGTACATGGTGGCTACTCTACTTGATAAACTTATACTCAAGAATACTTATTAAAATGAACTTCAAGAACTTAAAATCACTTGAAAAGTCTGATTCCTCGAAATGCAATGCAATCCTGTTTCATTTTGTGCGCCTCCCTGTCGCCACAAATCTCTACAGCTGAAGTGGAAAGTTAACAGCTGGCACAGCCGTAAAACTAATACAAACATTGGGAAATACACTATGTTGAATTAAACGTTCAGTACAATACCAACTCACATGAGCACAGTGTTTAACACACCCATCGGATGAAACGGTTCAACATCCTAGATTGTAGCATATCAGAGAATTTCTGTACTTTAAAGATGGCTTCCTGATCGTCCATGGCTAGTTTTGTTAGGACTTCTTGATCAACATCACTTCCTGTGGCAATCACAGTGGAAACAATCTGTTCCCTGCGCATGGCACTGACCGCCTCGTCCAGGCCGCCGCTGCCGGTGACGCCGTCTGTGACGAAGACGAAYGAAACCTCAGCACCGCGCCTCGTCTTGCGAGTGCTTCCCTTACCCAGAAGGTAATCGATGGCGTGGATGATGGCAGGTCCCACTGTTGAGGATGAATCCATGTATGTTAAATTGGTTAAACCCGAGGAGATGATCTTGGGATCATGCGTGAGAGGGAAGGCCACTTGGTTTTCGTTCTCTTGGCCAAACTCGATCAGCGCCAGACGAGCCCAATTTCGGTCACTCTTCCCCTTGGCCATTTCTAATCTGTCCATCACAGCCTGCACAAAAGTACGAAGGCGGTTGAAGTTCTCCTCTCCGAGTCTCTCTGAGCCGTCCAGAAGAAATACCAGCTCTACAGGACGTCCAACACAYGGCGCTACATCTGGTTCTGAAAAGGAAGAACAAACTATTGAGATTGCTCTTTATTTCAGCACAATAATAATCAAACCATGAATAAAACCCACCTGTTTTACAGGGCAGATCTGGACATTTAATCACTGGATCTGAAGGGGAAGTTAAACTGCAGGTTAGACCATTACCAAGCTGGACCTATGACATCATCTTGACCAGTCTTACCAGGACAGAGCACAGTCTCCATCTTCTCAATGAAGTTCTCAGCCACCAAATCGGTGTATTGCTTCATCTCGGTGATTCTGTTCTTATTGTTGCATGCTATCGACACAAGGGTCTCACTGTCGTGTCTCTTATCGAACATGTCACCGACCCCAATGGCGTTCACCACCACGTTGGGGTCGTTGCAAAGGTACCTGAGCTTGTTGTCGTCGTCCCGAGGGTCGAAGCGGCCGTCTGTGACCACCACGACGGATATCCTGGCAAGGGATCTCTTGCTGTCCCTAATCAGGTTGTCGTAGGCAAATTTGAGAGCAGAGGGCGTGAACGTGCCCCCTGCAATCCACTGCAGATTCTTCACTGCCGTTTTAAAGGCGGACAGGGAATTTATGGCTGGGTCGTCAAGGCGAATAGCCTCAAAGGTCCCTTCGTGACTGAACTGTACAACTCCAACTCTTGTGCCTAGAAGATACAAACATTAATCCTGCTTTAACGATTGGCTGGTTTTACTACTGTATAAATGTTATTGTTAGGAAATGGCTTTGAGGTAAACAAAACTTAACTTCAAACTCAAGGCAAGACCTGACTTGGCAAAGACAGTCCTGTAGTCGCATAAAACATTGACTGGTTGAAATAATAAAGTCGATGGGTTCTCCCCATTGATCAATTACGGCAGAGCAAATTAGAATGAAAATATCCATAACCGTGGAAAAGGTTCAACTCAGGCGATGCTGTGAGAGTAAAGCTTAACAGGGATGCAACCAAATGTGAACTTATAAGTCAATATTGCAAAATTATAAATTTACTGTATATGATTGTGTATTTATCTGCTCATTTAATTCCTTTGTCCACAAGGGTGGTGTTGTAGCACCCACAGTTCACACGGCATCAAGAATGTTCAATGTTTTGACAGGTAAAAAATGGGCTAAGGTTTGCACATTAAATGACTCCATACAAAGCGATGCATGAAGAAAATAAATTTTGTATTATACTGAAAAATACTGAACATAAATCCTTCAAACTACGGAAGCTGAGAGCGGCTGTTTTCAGCATATCATTTTTTTCTATGGTTTTCTATGGATAACAACATATTGTGTCATCACAAAATAATGAGGACCATTTTCTGAAGATAAGGAGTTATGATTTTCTGTGAAGATCCCCTCAACTAGTCATTGATAAAGTTTATTATATCAGCAGGATCACTGTGTAAACACCTGCTGATCTGCAGTCGGGCCATCTGTCTCTTTAAATGACAAGGACTGATATGAAAGTTATCTGTGCAAGACGAACAAATCACAATTTCTGTCTGTAATGATGTAAAAAGGACCCAAAATTATGTACACTAGGTTGCCTTCAGGCCCAAGTCGCCCTTGCAAAAGAGATCTGCGATCTCAATGGGATTTGGCTGGTTAAATAAATAATTTGAATAAATAATCAAATAAAAAAATTTAAACTTCATAGATGACCAGGCCATCAGCATGGTTACTGAATGATGCATGAGAGGAAAATCATCTGGAAATGAACTCGTTATCTCAAGAAAACGGCCCTCGTTTTTCCATGATAATGACATGTTATCATGAGAAAAACATGCAAAATAATTATATGCAGAAAAACGTCCGCTCTCGGTTTCCGTATAAAACACTTTAAAGACGGATAATCTTTTATTTCTGTGTCTGTTGAAGGATTTAACTCTGTTTACCAGTTGTTGATTCAGGGTCGGAGGCCATAGACCCCAGCCTGTTTACAGTGTTGATAACAAAGCTCTTCTCCAGGGTGAAGTTTGTCAGCCCGACGCTTTCTGAGCTGTCRATCACAAACACGATGTCCAGCGCTCCGCAGTGCTTTTCACAATCTGAGGAARAACAAAAACAGGATCAGCCTTTTGAGAAATATCATCTGTCCAGCTGTGAATGGTCACATCTGCCTACCACAACAACCACATGTTTCCCTGAGGTACGTCATGACGTCACATTCCTGCAGTGACACGCACACAGGTTAGATGTGACACAACTGATTGTAGAACATCTCAGTTTTAAAGTTTACATACAGTGAGCCCAGGATCCCCGACTGGTCCCGGACCCCCCTGCACAAACACAAGCGAAGGGCTGAGCTATAAGGTTTGATTTAAAAATCTGCATGCATAATTAAGTGTTTACAGCGCAGATGCTTACATCCTTTCCAGCAGCTCCCCGGGGTCCTCGCTCCCCCGGCTCTCCTGGTTGGCCTGGTTCTCCCTGAACCCAAAACATTTTTCACCAAAAGTGACTCATAGCTCACAGAAAAGGAGATTTTAAGTAGAAAAATGACTCATTTTTCTGCATATATGTCTGAAAGGATTTTGCCAAGAACTTCCACAGAGTGTTTCAAAGTTGTTTTAATTTCCTTCACTGCTGATCTGACAAATCACAAAAGGCAGTGTGAGTCACAGATATGAAAACTTTACAGATGTTCTTAAGAGGTGGTGATGGATCATGAGTTTTGGTGGCATGACATGATCTCTGCAGCTGTTATTTTGTCATTACTAATATATTAAAATAAAACTGCATCTTGTAAAACAATCACAGAGGCTTCCATCTCCACTATGATGCTCTAAAATCTCATTTCAACCCAAATATTTTCACCTCTCTAATAAAGGGGATACTGTAAAACCGGTGACTAAAGACAGGCCTCAAATCAATTTATAAAAACTCATTTTAAAGGGATTTTTCTTTGGAGCTAAAAGGAAGAATTTTCACAAAGCTGTGAAAGCAAAATAATAATGAAACAAAAAAAAAAAGGTTGCAGTTAAACCCTCAAAGTGCTCCTGTGGGGATCAATCCTACGACAACGCAGTGAGGAGGCGTCCTAACTCTCAGATCTAATTAAGACAACAACCGATTCAGTGTAACAACACAAAATAAAATAATATTAATATGATGAAACATTGAGAAAACAAAAGAGAAACGTTCATTAATCCCCAAGGAGAAAAATGCAACATTGCACAACGTGGTTCATCATCCTCAGCATCAAAGAGATGATTAGATTAACGCTAAATTAATTATGAAACCTGCCACTCTACATTATAAGGCTTTTTAAAAAGTCTATTTGAAGTTGTTAGTACTTTTACATGGCCTTTTGACATTTTTTTACACAGATGTGAGTACTCTGAAGTACTTCTTGAGTGAAACCAGCCATTACTGGAAACATTTTTAGATAAGAGTTTTCTTCCTGTTTCAGCAAAACTATAAACATCACTCTCCATGTATCTGCTCAGCATCTCTGCTTACTTCCCCAAACTGCCTTTCTATTCAGGACAGTCGGTCATTACTCTTACCAGTTCACCTTGAGGTCCTTTATCTCCAGGCTGCCCTTTAGCGCCACAGTCTCCTCTGCTGCCTCTGGGCCCTCTCGAACCTCGTTCACCTGGCTCTCCCTGAAAAAAGAAAAACACTTACTGAACGATCACCCTGGATGTGAGGGAAATCTTTTCATTTAAACAAAAAACCGTACAGAGGGCCCTCTCAATCCTGGATAGTTGAATCCTGATCGGCCTTTGTCGCCCTTTAAAAAAAAAGTAAACCAGTGAGTGAAATTTTACACATAAACCTTGATTTACTGTTGTTTGTTGGTTCTTACCTGTGGGCCAGGTGGACCGGGGTCTCCTCTTGGTCCTGGATCTCCTGGATTTCCCAAAGTGCCCTGTAGAGAATTAAAAAGTAAGATATTCATGTTGAGAAATGACCAGTGCTGGCTCTAGCCATTTTGGTGCCCTAGGTGAGTTGAAGTGCAACCCCACCCCCCACTAGTTTACTATTGTAAACTTAGCTTTATTTGCTTTAAACACAAACATACATCACACAACAAATTAAATGAATAAATAAAATTAATATAATTAAATCAAATGACAAGGGTAAACAAAAGACCCTGTTCACAATTTGTGCAAATATTTAGAAGGTCCTCTCTTTTTGGAAAATATAAGTCTGATTTTACCTCATAAGGTCCTCGGCTGACAAACTCAGCCCTCAATGTGTCAGAATGGATGTCAGCAGGATTAGTAGTAGGAGTAGTTTATTTTCCTGTAATACCTCATTTTTGTTTTTTAAGACAAAGCTAAATGAAAGGGGCGCTGAGCAGAGTTACAACAAGGGATTACAGATAACTTTTTTCTTCTGCAGTTCGGCGCCCCCTCCAGCAGATGGCACTCTAGGTGACCGCCTAGTTCACCTATGCCAAGAGGAAATGGAAATGACTGAGTTATGGAGGATTTCATTAAGTGCTGTGAACGACTGTCAGCGACTACCACACTGAATTTCAGCTCAATATCTGTAAAACTGGCTGATTTATAGACATTTTAGTGCTTTATATGCTCATTTAGCATCAAAAGTTGCTTATTTGTATTTTTTCCTGAAAGTTTCATTAAAATCCACACAGTAGGCCTTCAGATATTTTGCTAACAGACAGAAACAACACAATAGTCCACCTTCACCTCGCAGCATCGTGTTAAAAGGATGCGTCTGAAAACGGTGGACTCACATTTTCTCCGGGTGAGCCTGGTCCTCCATCCTGACCCCGTGGTCCTGGTAGTCCTTGATCTCCCTAACAGGAACAGAAATGTTTTTACTGAACACAACACTGACTCCAGCCCCCGCATTCAGAATTACTCACTCTGATCTGAGTTTGGCAGGAAGCTGCGCTGGACAAGACATTTTAAAAAGCCTATAGTTCATCTGGAGACTCTATTTTGATAACAGATTTGGTTCATGTGTTTTGGCAGTTTGAGAAGCTTTAAAGTCAGTATTTTTAGGCCTGCACTGCCTGCTTAGTTCTAGTGAAGCCGAGTCATCTTTTTTGCCAAAAATCACTCCTTAATGATCTCCTCACTTTTGCTCCTTTAAATCCGTCTTCCCCTGGCCGACCCCGGTCTCCATATGCTCCTCGTTCTCCCTTAAAGATAAGTTAATGTGTCAGAGTTTGGCCTAAATCTGCAGGATTTGGTTTAGTTTTGCAAACGCAACAACATAAAAAAGATGGAACCAAGGGTTTTTACTTACTTTTGCTCCTTTTTGACCGTCAGGTCCTTTTGCTCCTTTTACTCCAAGATCTCCTGTCCTGCCCTGTTCATATTTACCAAAACACAAAAAGTCTAGAAATTTTAAAGTAGACATGTCATGCTTTTAAATCCTTCCTTTTCACATTTAAATTATTCAGTTGGGGGTCTATGTAAAGTGGACCTGCAATGTTTTGGTCTGAATTCCTCCTTATTTTAACTTGACCAGCCTCTCTTTCACCCCTTTTCTGAAATAGTTGATTGTGTTACTGTTCCTTTAAGGCTTTCAAGCCCCGCCCTCCTACAGCTTCCAGACCGGCCCACTCCGGTTTGAGGGAGGGGTTTAGCATTTTGTAGCATGCAGAAACGTGACGAGAGTTAAGAGGAGGGAATTGTAGTTGGTAAGTCCAGACCTTTTTTTAGCAACTCCTTTGCAGAAAATATGACTTAATAGACTCAGAAAATGTCATAGAAAACAGAAAAAAATGAACGGGCTAAAAATATGACACAAACAGAATATAAAGATATATTTACAGCACCAGGAGAGACTAAATTCAAAATTTCTGCACTCCTAAAGACTCCAAGTCCACAACAAAATGTATTTAACAACTAAAAAAAAGGATGATAATGATAATGATATGTCCCCTTTAAAACTTAAAAAGTTATTATTTAAAATGGGAAGTTTTCTGAAATACCAGGTCGCCGTTTGGTCCAGGTCTGCCTTTAGGTCCCTGAAAGAAGAAGAATTTGTTTCAAGTGTCAGTTTTTTAATAATAATAATTTACTTTGTAAGAGATTAAATTCAAATATACTTGAATCCCCTTTTCTCCTGGTGAACCTGGATTCCCAGGATTTCCACTTTCACCCTATAAACAAATAATGATCAGGTCACTGTTGGTACTTTTAAAGCAAACAAATTAAACCTAATTTATTTGTTTAAAAATGTATGTTAAAAATAAATACCTGCGGACCTCGCTCACCCTGAGGGCCAGGAGGGCCCATTTTCCCAGGAAAACCAGGGTCCCCCTAAAATAACAAAATGATCAAAAAAAAAAAAAGAATGAAAATAGCTTGTTTGTACATTTAAATACTTTTTCTGCTTTAGTTTTTAAACAAATATAAATTCCAGCATCTCAACCATCTCTGCGTCTTTTTATTTTTTATTTTTCTGTCTGGTGCAGGAAGTCTGTTTTCACAATTTCAAAGTATTTTTTATTTTTATTTATGTATTTCCAGAACACCATGCAGGTACAAAATGTACAAGCAGAGAAGAAACCAGAAACAGATCATTTAAAGTTTTTGAATTGTTCAGTTTTGAAGTTTGAGAAGCAAAAACACAGAAAAAACCCTGTTTTGATGTAAAATTCAAAAGTTATTGATTTAGACTTTCTTTTCTCTGCGTTGGTCAGGTGTGTCTCGACTAATCTTGTCTTCTGAAACAGTGTTTAACTTTCCTGCTCATTACTCATATGTTTTTGTTGTGCTACACAGGAAATTATTCTGGTGGTTTCCTCCTTGCCAGGCAACAACAAATTTCCACTCAAGTCATCTTTCTGAAACGTCTTTTGTGTTGAATCGTGCGAGTTTTGATTTGATTTGATTCACACCTTTTCTCCTTTGTCACCAGGGGGTCCAGGCCTGCCAAACTCTCCTGAGTATCCATCCGGCCCCTTAAAAAGAAAACAAAAACAACTCGCTGGTTCAGTAAAGCAGAAAAGCTTAAAATCTGCAGCTCTATTAAAGAAAAATGATGAAACTTAACATTCTCTGGAACTATGAACAGAAAATAAACATTTCTTCAGTCTGAGAGTTTCAGGCAAAATTCAGGCTTTTAAGCCCTGCTTCCATGTGACTGATACTCACATCACATGGCTATCGTTGACACCTAATTAACACCCATTATTACAGGGGGTGGAGTGATACTGGCAATAGCAGCACTGTAGGAGGGGGACAACTGAAAACGGAGGCCTCCACCTCTGTTTAATGATGGACGGTCTTTCTTCACAAAAATGGCTTCTTTTACTCCTCTCTCAAACCAACGTTCCTCTCTATCAAGAATGAGAACATCCTCATCTCTGAAAGAGTGACCGCTGGCCTGTAAATGAGTGAAAACTGCAGAGTTCTGGCCATTAGACGCAGCTCGTCTGTGTTGGGACATTCTTTTGAACAGTGGCTGCTTTGTTTCCCCGATGTATAACTGGTCGCAGTCCTCCTGGCACTTAACAGCATATACAACATTGCTCTGTTTGTGCCGGGGCACCGGATCTTTGGGGTGAACCAGCCTTTGCCGTGATGGTTCGTTGGTTTGAGAGAGGAGTAAAAGAAGCCATTTTTGTGAAGAAAGACCGTCCGTCATTAAACAGAGGTGGAGGCCTCCGTTTTCAGTTGTCCCCCTCCTACAGCGCTGCTATTGCCAGTATCACTCCACCCCCTGTTAACAATAGGTGTTAATTAGGTGTCAACGATAGCCATGTGATGTGAGTATCAGTCACATGGAGGCAGGGCTTAAAAGCCTGAATTTTGCCTGAAACTCTCAGACTGAAGAAGTCTCTTGGAGGAGAGACGAAACGTTTCATTAGAGAAGAACCCGTCCAGAAGACCTATACAATTTTTTTCGTTTAGATTTTTTACCTGGATTACTGAGATGCATCAGGAAAATAAACATTATTTCGCATAAATACCAATAAAGACCAGCCTCACCTTGTCACCTGGATCACCTTTGCAACCAGAAGCTCCAATTCGGCCTATTTTACCCTGAAAATTCACAAAATGAATTATTGTGACATCGGTTCGTAAAACCTTCCACTGTGACGACAAACATCCTAATATTCACCTTCTGTCCATCTGTTCCGTTCCTGCCAGGTGCTCCCGCCACGCCCTGACAAGTTTGGACAAAAATATTTAATAGTGTTGCTGATTGTGAAGAACATATAAAAGCATGACAACACTCTACCTTTGCTCCAATTAATCCACGTTCCCCCTGTTTAATTCAAACAAACGTGTTAAACTCAGTTCAGTTTGACAGAAAAAACAGAACAAAAGAGTTCATTCTCACCTTTTCACCCTTGAAACCAATCACTCCCTGAGCAGAATGAGAAAATGATGGATTAATTAAGGATTTAGWGCTAACCACCAAATATAGCAGTGGTTCCCAAAGTTGGTGTCAGGACGCGTCGTAAATACAAGAATTTGCAATAACTTTTACAAAGAAACCAGTGGTCACAAATGGATAGGAATACATGAAATGATTGACAAAGTTCTTTGTTAAATAGCCTCATCTTTTGTTTTTGTTGGTTGAAAACCAGCTAAAATGTTTGGGAACCACTGGTATGAAAAACACCATGACTCATCGGCCTCAGCAAACCTTTGATCCGGGTCGTCCAATGGGACCTTCAATCCCTGGATCACCCTGAAATATTAAACATCACATTCAGCAGTAACTCGTGATGAAACATTTTAAATTACCTTTACGTTTTCAGTTTCCACATACCTGTGTACCTTGTTCACCTTTTTGCCCAGTCTTACCTCTTTCTCCTTTTGTGCCCTGAAAAAATGCACAACTGTTTACATTTCAACACCACGAGTAAACAGAAATGAACATAAAACACTCACTATTTTAACTCTTTTATGACTCACTTTTGGACCTGAAGACCCTTTTCGCCCCGGCATTCCAGGAACCGCCAAACATGTTGGTTTATAACACTATAAAAGATAAATATTTAAAAGTAATCATGGGACTCTGAAGTAATTTCTCAGTGCCTTTTCTGTCTAAATATTAGTTTTATTAAAGATTATCTGATGTATGTATGAAACAAAATATATTGCTGGATAATAAGTAGATGATTAAAATGGACACAAATTAATATTATTGCAAAGATGAGGCAGTTGTTCAGCATAATCTGAATTTTCTATTTATTTCTTTTACTTTTGATTGAAAAGTTTGGGTGCCTTTTCATATAAAAACATTTTGATGCACCAACGTCTTGAACAAGGTCACTTTGTCGGTCTAGGTAAGCTTCTGTAAAATGGGTCCAATATTATTTTTCTGTGGATGAAATTGTCTTTCAAAAATAGGAACATATTTTCCTGTTGAAAAGAACAGACTCAGAATATGAAACACCTAAAAACACATTATAAAGTTTGTTTACCTGTAAGTAGGCTTGATATTTCTGCAAAGCAAAAACAAAAAAAAAATCAGAGGTTAGGGTAACTGAAAGTCAAATCTGAGCTGTCATTCATATCTGCGAAGGAATAAAAGTGCCAGATCACCATGACTTTGATGATCCGATCAATGGAATCGGTGCTCAGTCTTGGTTTCCCGTCAACGACCTCCATGACGATGTAGTCGTCGCGGAACACCTCTGTGGGGGAGCTGGCGATCTCCCTCATCCCCAGCTCATCGATGCTCCTGGATGCTGCCACCGAGAAGATGTGGATTCCTTGATCTCGAGCGTTGTCCGCCATCAACTTAATCCCCGAACATGGACTCCCTGTCACGTGGCCGTCTGTGATGACCACAGAGAAGAGGACGGCCTTCGGCCCTGAATAGTGGTGCCTGGTCATCTGGTGGGTCATGTTTCTGAGGGCGCAGTCGATGTAGGTGCCTTTGCCCAGGTACGTGATCCGGCTCAGACTCCTGATGAAGGTCTCTCTGGTTGTGAACTGGCTGAAGACCACCTGTGTTTGAGAAAAGTGCAAGCCTCCCATGGACCAAGTGATCTGGATTTGACCCCTGTACTCTTCTTCTGCAAGTTTTTGTGCGAATATTCTGGTGTACTCCTTGATGCTCTCCACCAGACTGCCAGGCGGGGACTCCTGCAGGGCGATGGTCTCTGATGTGTCAATGGTGAAGAAGACCTTGATGGGACAGTCAACGAGTTCTGGTAGAGAGAGGAACAATACAATGAAGGGAGGGTTGGCATATTAGTGGATATATTTGTCTCTTTATTTGTTAAGAATTTTATTAAATTTGATGGAATATTGATAAATTAAAAGATAAAACCTTTATTGTAAGGTTTGTTATTGTACTCCATGAACAGCATTGCTTTTTAGTGTGGTTACTATTTAAAGAACAATATCATGGGTTCAATTTTACAAAAATGTGAAGAAATATAAAAACAATAAATAAGGAGCACATTAATTACAAAATGTTATGAGGAAATGGTGACAGGTTTGAAAAAACTGTTATTTAGATACAAATAAACAACTGAATCAACTGTGAGACTTGTATTACAGTAAGAATATTTAAAATAAACATTAGTACTTCGAATTATTTTATGTTTAATGAATATGAATCTAGAAAAATGACCTAAATAACTCCACAAACTTATGCACTAAAAAGACACAGATGAAGGACTAGTCCAGAAAATAGTTTTGTTGCTCCAATTATACCATCCATCCATCCATCCATCCATCCATCCATCCATCCATCCATCCATCCATCCATCCATCCATCCATCCATCCATCCATCCATCCATCCATCCATCCATCCATCCATCCATCAGTCCATCCATTTTCTTCCGCCTATCCGGGGTCGGGTCGCGGGGGCAGCAGCTTCAGAAGGGAGGCCCAGACCTCCCTCTCCCCAGCCACTTCTTCCAGCTCCTCCGGGGGAACTCCAAGGCGTTCCCAGGCCAGCCGAGAGACATAGTCCCTCCAGCGTGTACTGGGTCTTCCTCGGGGCCTCCTCCCGGTGGGACATGCCCAGAACACCTCACCAGGGAGGCATCCAGGAGGCATCCTTACCAGATGCCCGAGCCACCTCAACTGGCTCCTCTCGACGTGGAGGAGCAGTGGCTCTACTCTGAGTCCCTCCCGGATGACCGAGCTTCTCACTCTATCTCTAAGGGAGAGCCCAGCCACCCTGCGGAGGAAACCCATTTCGGCCGCTTGTATCCGGGACCTCGTTCTTTCGGTCATGACCCAAAGCTCATGACCATAGATGAGGCTCCAATTATACTTCAAATGAAAATAGGATGTAAATGCAGAACCAGGGATGTCAAACTAATTTACACCAAGGGCTACATGAGCRTTATGACGGCTCTCAAAGGTAAATAACTTTGACGTTTCATGTTTACTTTGACTGAACTGTGTTTTAACATGGCCACTTATAAACATAGCAAAGTACTACTGTAGGTGTACGACTGACTGAATCTGAAATAAATAATACAGAAATATTATTAAAAGTAAAACCAAGAGAGTTATACTCACTGATGATTTTCATGAATAGCTGCCCATGGATGATGCTTTATGAGAGATGTAGTTTATGGTCAATGCTGGATTTAAAACAGCTTATTTTTGAGACATTATTACTGTGATTTCCAACTAAATTGCTCAACAGCTCAGGGGAAGGACAAGTAGTTATCTCTTACCTTTTTAATTTGTTTATTTTGTTGCATTTAACCATAAATTTAAAGTTAACCATTGACATAAGAAACTTTTTTCATATTAGGTACAAAAAATATATATGTATACATATTTTTTTGTCTGGAGGGCCAGACAGGAGTCACCCACGGGCCACATTTGGCCCGCGGGCCTTGAGTTTGACACGTGCTAAAGTATAGGAGCATTTGTCTGAACCTCTAAAAAATATCAGAAAAAGTTAAACAAATCATTAATAAAATTGTAATTAATCACGTTTAAACCATTCAACTCATCTTTGTCTCGTGTAGCAGTAAGAAAATGGCTCAAAAATACAAGCTTGAACACAGAAACTAAATGAACAGAAAATAAATAAATAAAATAAAAATCTATCGGTGGAGAGAACCAGTTATAAAAGAGGTCAAAAGCACGAGAGAAGGAGAGCGGTGATTACTGAGCTGAAACACCTGGGCTGATGAGCAGATTGAGCGCAGCTGTGAGAGGAGAGCTCAAAGCAGGAATAGTTRATRGTAAACAGAAAAGGATTTGTAAATCCATATCCAAAAACAGTCAAACTTTTGCGTAATTGTTGCATTTTACTGCTACGGGTGAACTCACTCTCACAACCTTGGGGTCTTGGTGTGGGCTCAGGTGGGAGTGGGGGTGGAGTTGGCCCTGGACTGTCCCCCCGCCCTGGTATTGGTCTGGGTCCACGAGGCAGTAATCCCTGAGCCTCCGCAGCTCGGAGCAGGGAGAGAAAGATGAACCCTGATAACACGGTCGTGGTTGGATGGATACCAATCATTTTCTCCTGAAAACGTAAAAAGACTTTTCAAGTTTTTGAGTCCAAACTTCGTTTTTACTTTTTTTTTTAAAGGAAGCAGCTGTCAGAGAAATGAGTCTTTACAGAGGGAATCTCCACACGACTCAGGAATGTTTATCACTGCTTCAAACAATGTCAGACTAACACACAGCGGATTATTTATATCTGCTTTCTGCTTATTTTTATTAAGTAAAACTAAAATCCACAGCCAGAACTCCTATACTACATGACGTTTAGTTGGATAAACTCTTTAGAAAAGTTGTGTGATCTGATAATTACTGATAACAAAAGTCAGGAGGAATATTTTTACTGGAAGGAAGTCCAACAATGTTAACCAGGATTAATGAGAAGTACCGGAACTGGAATCTTGTTACTTTAATTTTTATTTTATATATTTCTTATTTTTTTCCCTGTTTGTAAGTGCATGTGCTCGTGTGTCTGTTACTAAATATCACAAGRACATCTGGATAGATTAATGAAACTTTCAGGAGTTRATCATTGAAAACAGCGGGTAAAATAAGTATTGAACACGTCAMCATTTTTCTCAGTAAATATATTACTAGAGGTGCTAATGACATGAAATTTTCACCAGATGTCGGTAACAACCCAAGTGATCCATACATACAAAGAAATCAAACCATAAATGTCCAGAAATGAAGTTATTGTTAATAATGTGGAATGGCACAGGGAAAAAGTATTGAACACATGAAGAAAGGGAGGTGTAAAAAGGCATGGAAAGCCAAGACACCAGCTGAACTCTCTCAGTAATTAGAAAACAAGCCTGCCCCTTGTCAGTGCAAGTTAATATCAGCTGGTTCVGTCCCAAATGATGGCCAGGTATCACACAAGAACCATCTGATGATGGGTAAAAGTAAAGAGCTCTCTCAAGACCTTCACAACCTTATTGTTGCAAAGCATAATGATGGCATCGGTTACAGAAGAATGTCTAAACTTCTGAAGGTTCCAGTGAGCACTGTTGGGGCCATAATTCAGAAGTGGAAAGAACATCATTTCACCATAAACCGACCACGACCAGGTGCTCCTCACAAGATTTCTGACAGAGGAGTGAAAAGAATTATCAGAAGAGTTGTCCAAGAGCCAAGGACCACTTGTGGAGAGCTTCAGAAACACCTGGAATTAGCAGGTACGATTGTTTCAAAGAAAACAATAAGTAATGCACTGAACCACCATGGCCTGTATGCACGCTCACCACGCAAGACTCCACTGCTGAAGAAACAGCATGTTGAAGCTCCTTTAAAGTTTGCTGCACAACATTTAAACAAGCCTGTGTAATACTGGGAGAATATAGTCTGGTCAGATGAAACCAACATTGAACTGTTTGGATGCCAGAATACACATCATGTTTGGAGGTCAAATGGCACTGCACATCAGCCCAAAAACACCATACCAACAGTGAAGTTTGGAGGTGGGAACATCATGGTGTGGGGCTGTTTTTCAGCATATGGTACTGGCAAACTTCAAATAATTGAAGGAAGGATGAATGGAAAAATGTACAGAGACATTCTTGATAAAAATCTGCTTCCATCTACCAGGATGATGAAGATGAAACGTGGCTGGACATTTCAGCAAGACAATGAGCCCAAACACAAAGCCAAGGAAACTCTCAGTTGGTTTCAGAGAAAGAAAATAAAGCTGCTGGAATGGCCCAGCCAATCACCTGACCTGAATCCAAKAGAGTGCAGCTGGGGATCTCCGGTTATTCCCACTTATGAGAATAAAGACACAAAGAAAACAGTTGGAAACTCAAACCCAGGAAACTGTTCTAAAAAATTAAAAGTACCACTTGGTTCATAAAGTACAGTGCAAAAGTCCTGAGTCATTCATTCTTTGTATTTTATATCCAATGAGCCAATTTTTTTTCTAATTTTGTTCCGATTTTTTTCTTTCTGAAGGTCCATAGCTGCTTTTCACTCATTTCCAATCCACTGATTGTTTTCAGGCAAATGTTTCTTTGGTTGTTTGTTTGTTGTAACCACTTAACTCTAAGCCATCAGTCATTCAGGCTCAGCCAGTTTTGTGTCATATAACTCAGTCAATTTAAATGTTACGCATGTTCCCATCAGCTTGTCAAAAAGACTCAGTTTGGTTCTATTTTCTTTGATAATTTAAAAAAAAATCTTATTTAAAACTTTTAAAGACCTCCAGAAAGTCTACTGAGCAAAATAAAAGATATCATGGGTGGATAAATCTTTAACATAGCTCATTATAAAAAAAAACAACACAAATACTAACATAAGAATTAAGTCTGCAAATTAAACTGCAAAAAGCTGAGAATTTGTTTTCCTTTTGTCAGATTTTAACTGATGTAAGGTACACATTTATTTCCTCTTAATTTAGCCAGAAAATATAAAAATATAAAGGACAAGAAAACCACTTCAGCTAATATAACAGAGGTGTTTCTGACAACAAGAGCTTCTTTAGACAAACATCCACTGCAACTGAGATTAAAAACATTTAAAACCTTCACTTTCATATTTAAACCTGCTTTTATATATAATCAGTGCCGCTCACAATGAAATGTTCCCGTTAAAAGAAGAAAAATGTATTAAAGTTCAAGTTACTCACCGTGTTAGCAGCACAAAGAATGCAAGCCTTTTCAGGAAATTCAAGTAATTTTCAGGGACTGCAAACTTCAGATAGTCATCTCAGCTGGAACGTTCCCACATCAGTGCTCCCATCCGGGGCTCGGCCCAGTTTCAGATGTTTACATGAGGGCCTTGTTGTGTGGGTCGGCRGCTGGACAGAACCAGCTGCTCGGTCTTAAAAACCGAGACACAATTCTGGAGATCTGAAGTGGATCTGAGTAAATACAGCAACGAGCGATTCATCCACGTTACCCYGCAGAACAAATGTCTGATGCTCTCCAAAGAGCAAACACCATCCTCCTCCGCTGCATACCCTTACATGGAGAGGGCTGCTCGCACTCACTCCCTGTTTATGTTTCTGGGTGAAACAGCAGCGGGAGTGTCATGTAGGAATGCTGCTGCAACGTTAATAACAAAACATCTGTTTGATGAATCGATCAGGAGACAGGAACACAGTGATTACATCTGTCACAATTTAAGAAAACACTCAATCTCAAGGGCTGTGGGATGTGACCCTCAGAGTGTGTGTTGGGGATGACTCTCAGCTACCACAGTGTTTTTAAATCAATTTTAGTGTTGGTTAAATTAAATAGCTGTAGTTTATTCAAATCCATCCACAGGTTCATGAAATCTGCTGCTAACAAACACACAGTTTAAATAAATCGTCTTTCTGAGGTCTGTTCTGGTTATAAGCGTCCCTAATGTCCCTCTTGTTCCTAAAACGAGTGTGTAATTCCATTAACAAGCTGTGTCTCTTCACATCACCTCAGAGGGAAGTGATCACCGTAACAGTGGAGGTCCGAGTTCAGCTGTGAGACCAACTAAAGCTGAGTCTTCAAAACGTCTCTGAGGACATGTTCACCTGAGCGCCTCATTTTGAATGTCACGGTTAAACGAAGCCTGACGTTTCAATCAAGGAGACAACGGAGGTGTCTCAGCTGCTGCAGTGAGGACACGTCCCCGTCCTTGACTCATTAAAGTAGGAATAAAATCAGACGGCCATGACAATACAACATGGGTCATCTGTTATAATCTGTTTACGGGGCAGGAGGACGGAAAACGTGTCCTTCAAGAGGCGTCAAGCTTCTTAGATTTGCTTTTACAGAAGATTGTTTTTCTTTACAAAGATAGAAACAAATTTATCAAAATGACCCAGAGGGCCTCAACTAAAAATCGGTGTGGTAGTAGTGGAGATTCATCATTTACGCTGAGCACTGACACGTTTTTTTGTAATATTTTTTCACAAATTGTCAAGATTTTACCAATTTTTTAATTCTATCTATCTATCTATCTATCTATCTATCTATCTATCTATCTATCTATCTATCTATCTATCTATCTATCTATCTATCTATCTATCTA